GCTAGCATTTACAAACAAAGCGACGCCATTGAAATAATATATCGTGGTGACGGGAGTGCACTGTTACAAACTTTCCAAATTTTCAATGTGGTTTGTGAGGCTGACATGTTATACTACCCTAACGATGTCCACACGTGTAAAATGGAAGTGACACCTATTACTGACCTGGATCAAGTCAATATCACTTCCTCTACGGGAGTCATAATGCTTGCTTATTATCCCAACCTGATTTGGAACGTTGAGTCAACCACAAAGAGCAACGTTGTCGCTGGAAGACTATCTAAGGCAATGCTTTATATTACAATCAGTCGACGACCCACGTTCATGTTTCTCACACTCGTCCTACCCATCATTGCCTTGAACTATATGAATATACTGGTGTTCTTGATACCGGTCGAATCAGGGGAGAAGATATCTTACGCCATCACGGTACTGCTGACGTTTGCTGTGTATCTGTCTGTATACTCAGAAAAGATTCCCCCGTTGAGTCACCCGGTTGCCATCTTCAGTGTCTCCATCCTCATAAAGCTATTCACAAGCTGTCTCATAGCGCTTTGTTGCGTAGTCATCTCAATGATCAGCTTCTATCAGCAAGAGCATCGAGTTCCTTCAACAGTGCAGCAACTAACTGTATGCTTTCTTCGAGACAGAAGGATACGAGGCGTCAACAAAACATCGACACAGAACGACTCTACGATGGACATGGTGATTCAATATGACGCGGCTCGTGAGGTTGGTACACTCTGTCAGGACGAGGACCGTCTAGAGATTCCGACTCAAGTGACGGTCGGCTGGAAGGAGGTGACTATCGTCATGGACAGACTATGCCTTGTACTCTTTGCTGTGACATCTACCATTGAGACAACTGTGACTGTGATTTTCATGATGACTCGTTATTGAAGTTACACTGTTTAACACATTACGTTTTGAGGTTATTTCAATCTTTTTTTAAAAAGTCTCGGTTTTTGTTAATTAGGTCAAGAGAGTAAAATTTATCAAAATGAAGCAAGATAAACGTCATTGTTTTAATTGAATTTAAACATATATATGTTAATGTCAGGAAAATTTGAACAAAGTAAGATATTTTTTAACATTATATACCATAATATAATGGACAAATACGTCTACAAACATTTTGATTCGTGAAGACCAATATTTCTAGATAATGCATGTAGGTCTACTGCTATTAGTA